GCGCAATGGTTGGCTGACAACAGGACACAGATCCAGACAAAAGCCTTCAGGCTCAATCTCCAGAATGCCCACCTATACATATATACACACACAGTGAGCTAAAGCCCAGTGAATAACATTAAGGTAAAGGGGTTAGTAAATGAAATCCGAACGTGACATAAGCGTAAAACAAGTCATAGCATAATCATTATTGTATCTGAACATAATAATGGTACATCCCATAGAACACATCACATAACGTCTTCCAACTAGAGTAATCGGTTTCGGATACCAATTAAACACATATCACCACAATGAAGTGGCTAACGAGATCTCGTAATCACATGTATGTCATGGACACGCGTTATCATGTCGTCCCCCATGACTTGGAACTATCTATGGATGCCATAATAGATTTCAAACATGGAACATTCGTTTACGTAAACAGATAGCATGTCAAAAATCATAACTTAATAAATAACATTTGAAACATAATTCATATGAACATATCTTTACGAAAATGTTACTCACAGTGGTTCTCGCAAACGGTCAATCAATCCCCAGACGTTGGCCTACAGACACAAAAGCACATAACACCAACATATCTCATCATTACACATTCACATGGCCAACACAGCTTAACTTTCTTATTACGTAGGTTTCTTGCTTAACACATTGTTTCAAACACACATTGGTAATATCTTAACTTAGTACATTCTTTTCTTAGTGTGTTTCTATTCCAAAACTCCATCACTATGGCTTAATTAAGGCTTAGGAATGCCTAAGATGCAATGAAGATGCCAAAACATGAATTAGAACACTTAATAAATTTTTTGAAAATAAGGTTCTCGTTTGAGTGTAGCTTTCCTTGCTCGAGCGGGCATGCAAATATAAGAGGGGTCGCTCGAGCGTGATTCCTTTGCTCGAGCGGCCTGCAAACTTGGAAAAAGTACTGGTTGGTTACAATCTACGCTCGAGCTACAACTCCCACGCTCGAGCGGATCAACAATATACAAGGGGTTCGCTCGAGTGTGACTTTTGTCGCTCGAGCGAAGCGCTCATGCCTGCAAAAAAATACTGAGAGCTCGCATTCTCCGCTCGAGCGTAGGATTCCCCGCTCGAGCGGACTATAAAATTCTGGGTTTTCAAAAGTAGAGTTTCGAGCTTCAAATGCAATTTCAATGGCTACACTCATGCATAGCTTGATCAAAACACTTGGAAAGCCTTTCTAAAACACAAATACATGATCACTCTCAAACGCTTAGCTCAAAACTCATGGATTTAGCAAATTTGAACTCCAAAGCTCATGCATGAAAGATTTTCAAACTATTTTCTTGATTTCTTCAAAACATGCAAATGGTTGATATGAATCCATGAATTTCCAAAACGTTTTGCAATATATGAACTCACATGCTTGCAATGACTTCAAACCTGAAGCTCAAAATGATGAAACCAAAAGGTTAATCTCCAAGAATGCAAATGCAAGTCATCTACAAGCTCAAAGACCCACTTCTCTTGCTAATTTTATGAAATTGGCTCAAAGATGTGTTGAAATCTTGATGCATGGAAGAATAGCTACAGAAAATGTGCTTAAGACTCTTACCTAGAGCTTTGAATCCAGAAATGTGAGATGAATCTCCCTAGTTTCCTTCCTCTTCTCATCAAACTCTCTCTCTCTCTCTCTCTCCATCCAGACCAACTCTCTCAACACAAAGGACCAAATAAGCAAAAAGAGATGATACAACACTTCCTCACTCAGCTGAATATACACATACACACTCCTCCTCAAACATGCCTACGTGGTTATGCATGCAAGGCTCTAACACACACACAAGGGTTGTGATCCTCTACACCCAACATCACCAATGCCTTAGCACTTAATCACATCTTGGATCAGTAATAGGATTAGATAGGTACCAATCATGCATCATCTTGATTAAACACAAGTAGCCTTAATTAACCAAGGTTAACACATTACTCAATTACTCCAAAATGGTTCTCATCAAGGCTCAATTTAATCATATGCGATTTTTACTAAACTGAATCAATTTTTAACAAAAATTGCCATAGTGTTCTAAAAATTCCAAATAACATACTGATGTAATCAATTTCGGTTTCGGATGCAGATAAGGCTTTCAATTTTCATATTAAAGCGGAATACTAGACAGATATTTCTACAAGTAACAGATAGAAAGCCAAAATCATGCAAAATACAGACTAAACACATAATTATTTTAATCCTCCCATTAGCATCATTAATCACGAATTAGCGGCTAACTATGGATCGAGGTTGTTACAGTTTCGTAATTGGCTTCTTAAGCCACTGTCTTGCATTTTTTAGAAAAAGAGAGAGAGTGTGTATAAGAATGTTTGTGGTGCAGAATTTTTATTTTTATTTAAAGAGGTTTAATCTTTTAGATTTATTTTATTATTTCAAATTTTATTTCAGATTTTTTAATCTATCAGATTTTTTTACAGAGGCTTAATTGTTAAGTAAAGAGGTTTAATAAAAAAATATTTCCACATCAATTTTTTTATTAAAAGTTTAACATATATGCCAAATAAAAGCTTGAGACTAAAATAAACACATATCATTTAGTTGAAAATGAGTCAAAAGTGCTCATACATATCAAAATTTTGGTTAAAATGTGATAAATTAAGGCTAAAAGAGTCCAAAAAATAATAATAATGCATAAAATTAAGGTTTAGAGGGATTGTTAATGATTTTTGAAATTCCACGGCCACAGCACGCGATTCCCAATTCGTACCGGTCGATACTACCGATAGCGATAATCCATGATCGATACCGCTACGCTACCTGATACTGCAATTTAGAACTATGTTTTTCGTCCACCAAACTTAACAACTGTTATTTATTAAACTAAAATGACACAATTAATTAAATTAAAGAGTAAAATCAAGCAAATTGAAATAACAGGGACCGAATTAACACATCGTATAAAATACGAGTGTGTTTGTTTTGAGGGATTATTCTATGGGATTGGACTATTAGTCCATCCGGACTAATAGTCCGTTCTTTGGCTCAAAATTTTGGCACCGGATTATTAGCCTCTTCGGATTGTTAGTCCCAAATCTACTGGACTATTATTTCCCATGGGGGGTGGGACACAAATAGAGGGATAAAGGGGGATATGAGATTAAGTGGTAAAATGATCATTTTGACATTCTGTAATTTAATTATGTATTATATTTAATAAAATTTAAATGCCTCAATTTAAAAATAAAATAATTTTATTTAATTTTTATTGATGTTTTATTTATTTAATTTTTTAAAATTATTTTTTATAGATATTTTATTGATGTTTTATTTTAAAATTTTGTTTATATTTTATTTAATTTCATTATTTAAATATTAATAGATTTTTTTATTTAATTTCATTATTTAACTATTATTATTTTTGAAAATAAATTTATTTAAAATTTTAATTAAAAAAAAACATATATTTTTATTGATATTTTATTTATTTAATTTGTTTAATTAAAAAATAAATTAATTTAATTATGCAAAAAATAAAATAAAATAAATTTTTATTTAATCTAGTTAAAAATAATTAAAAGATTAAAGATATGTTTAATTCATTTGAACATTTATTCTCTCCATAATATCCCAAACAAATATAGGATCCATATCATATCGCACAAAATAGTCATTTATTAACATCTAATCCCATGACTAAACAAACATGAGATACAAATCCAATCCAACTAAATAGTTCGGGACAATGTATTGCAAGACTAATAGTCCATAGATAATATATCAAAAGACTAATAATCTGGTGAATTTTAATCTCTCTTTATCTAATTTGTCCAAACAAACATACCGTAAGAGAACTATTTATATAATTTACCCAAACTTTTATTCATCGAAGCTAGTGCTCCGAACATCTAATCCAATTAAGGATTAATTACATAATAATTTAGACTGAGAATTTCACAAGTCAAAAATGAGAGTCCCCATATTTCACATAATATTTTATTTTCTAGACTTCATGCCTAATAAAGATTGTGAGACAATCGAGGTTTCACGAGTACTTCAAGTGGAGTGGCTTTCATATTTGTCAGTCCAGCGCTTTCGCTCATGTCAACAAGTGCATTGGATGCTGGCAAAATCTCAAAACCATGGAGTAACCTAGCAAGCACTAAGTGCAACATTTGGATTCCAAACGCTATTCCTGGGCACACTCTTCTACCTGCTCCGAATGGAATCAACTCAAAATGTTGACCATTAACATCCACATCTTTGTGGGTGGTGAGGAATCTCTCTGGTTTGAACTCACAAGGCTCTGACCATATGTTTGGGTCCCTTTGCAGCTTCCATGTGTTCAGAATTAGGCGTGTGCCTTTGTAAACATGGTAGCCACCAATGGTGCAGTCCTGTGTAAATTCTCTTGGGCCTGATAGTGGGGCGGCTGGGTATAATCGTAATGTCTCTTTAATTACGGCTTGAAGGTAGACTAGCTTGCTAATATCTGATTCGTCGACTTGTCTTTCTTTACTAACGTGTATGTCTAGTTCTTCTTGAACTATTTTTAACACATGACGGTTATTCATTAGTAAAGACAGTGCCCACGTCAACATAGTTGCAACCGTGTCGCCTCCGCCAGCAATCAAATTCTGCAAATTGCAAAGCCCACACTTCAGCCAATTAGATTTTAATATTATAAGGGGTAGGTACCCTAGTTTGGGTGAAATGGTAATGTGCAGCCTGTGTCTGTAGTGTATGCATTTGGAGTCATATAAGGTTTTAATGATCTTCATGATATATTTTATCATATTTTTTCATAATCCTTAATATTATTCTTTCACTATAAGTAATGTTAAGAATCATAAAAAAATATTATGAAAGATTTTCTACCTTTGGATTATACATATAATAAAACATTGCAAACTAATCAAAGGATGAAAAATTTTCATGATACATTTCATGATCCCTAATATTATTTTTTCAGTATCTCAAGTTTGGTAAGAATTTATACAATAGTTTTGTAGTATTTACATGTGGTGTTCTAATTTGAATGTAATTAGTTAATATAATGAAATTATCACTTTTATATTGGTATTTTAAAAAATAACATAAAATAATAAATAATGGCCGATGTGATGCAACATTCAACGAGTATTCTACCCCTTAGTGCTTGTATCTTGCATCAATAAAAAAATAAAAATAAAAAATTAAAAAAATTAAAAAAATAAAAAAAAACAAAAACATTGTGATTGTTGGATATGATTACGTGACACTCGATAATTTTATAATTGGGGAAAATATGGGATATTATAATTTTGTATTGAGTGATTAAAAAATATGAAAAAGTATGATAAATGATGATCGGTGAAGGAACTATTTTTAGAATGGGTTAGTCTCACTATTGATTAGAGATTTGATTAAAAATAATTACAAATATAGTGTAAATCTTTTCTGAGTAAAAAAACACAAAAAACTTTGCACTCCATAAAAATTATCAAGCTTACTAAATATTTACCCCACCTTTTACTGGTTGTAGTTTTTGCAAAAAATTCACACATACAAATGATATAACTAGGGTAAATATCACTTTTGAGTTCTTTAATAAATATGGATTTCCCATTTTATATATATATTTATTTATTATTAAAAATCTCAAGTATTTGTATTTATCATTGTCTTTTGCATGAGTAGTTTTGGTGATAAAAATTTTTGGATTAAATTGATTTTACTTCTCGTGGTTTGGAGCTAAAGTAGTTTATTTCCTATGTTCAAATATTGTTAGAAATCTCCTATATGATTTTGGATTAAAGTTTCATTGTTAGTTTTTTCATCCAAATTAATCGAAGATGTACCATACACACACCATTTTTTAGAATGTGTTTGATTTTTTGAAAAATAAAATGAAATTAATAAAATAAAAAAATAATTTTATCAATATTTTCCCTAATTCTAAAATTAGATTAATATATTCATTAAAATATAATTAACGATTGATCTAAAATATAAACTATAATTAATAATTAATTTAAAAATAATTAAATAAAAATATAAAATAAATAATAATTAAGAATTGATCTAAAATATAATAAATAATAAATAATTAAGAATTTATAATTAATTATGATTTAGGGTATATCTGTATATGTATATGTAGTATAGTATACCAGGCATGTGGCCTTGTTGATGGTATCGACGTCATAACCAGCAAAGTCTGAGCCTTGAAGAGTAGAAAGCATGACAGCCATAAAGTCTTGAACTCCTTTAGCCTCCCCAGAATCTCTCTTATGGCGATGTTCCTCTAACCATCCCGCCACAATACTTTCCATTTCTTTTGCAGTTTGTTTCATGGCCTTCACATGTCCACCCAAATCAAACCACCCAAGAAAAGGAATTGAGTCCGACACCAAAAACAACCCAAGAAAGTGAAAGAAATTCCTGAATACCTTCTGGCACTGCCTCGCCTCTTTCTCCTCCTCACAACCGAAGTATCGCTTTCCGGCAACCATTCTAACAGCCACGTTCAGAGCCAAGTCTGAAAACCATTGCTTCATATCCACCAACACATGGCCTGAGCTGTTTTTCTTCTCTCTCCAAAGCTTGTGAAGTACTTTCATGGAGGTCTCAGTTTCAGAGACTCTGACATTCTTTAGAAGCTCGACGCGGCGACTTCCTAGTAGCTCGAGGGAGGCTATTTTGCGGATTTCACGCCAATAGGGACCATATGGGGAGAAACTAAGCATGGCATAGTTGTAGCCTAGGTGTTTTGCCGCTGCAAACTTGGGACGGCTTGACACAGCTATGTCGTTGGTGGTGAAACATTCTTTGGCTGTCTCCCAATTGCTCACTACAAGAGCTCGTTTCAACCCGAGCCGGATGGTGAAAACTGGTCCGTGTTTATCCGCCATGGCTCCCAAGGTTATGTGGGGAAGCTCAGAGCCTCCTAAGAGGTGAAGGTGGCCTATTATGGGCCATGCACCACTAACTTCTGGTGCTGTGCTGTTTTTAGCAGCTCTTTTAGATATCCATAGAAAATAGCAGAGAACTAGAAATATGGATAAGACTCCAGCTATGGCAGTGTTTATGTGTGATAGAAAAAAATCCATGGCAGATTATGCACTTGGAGGACTCCAGTCCAGAGTCTCTTTGGTTAAGCTGCTTTATAAAGCATGCACATGCCTAGGAAAAAAAAAAAAAAAAAAAAATATAAGATAAAATTTTGATTTTGTTGTTGTGTACCCAATCATGAATGAATCTATTGCAGACTTTGAGTAATTTTTTAACTCTGAATTAAATTCAACCCGTGGTTCCCGAGCAATTCATTAGTCACTCTCACACACACTCTCACATATCTTCTTTCATCTCTCTCTCTCTCTCAAACTTTTTCTCTACGAAACAGTAGGATAGTTTGATTTGTAGCCACACATTTTCCACAAGTTTTGTCTGTATAGTTACAGCAATGCTAGATATCATGAAAAATCTTTCATGAAAATAGTCATGAAAAATTTGTGACCTTTGAATTATACTTACAATAAAGCACCACACACTAATCAAGGTAATCTAAGGATTACAAATTTTTCATGATTCTTTTCATGACAAAATTTTCATGATCTGTAACATTTCTCGTATAGTTAAGGCTTAGAAGCACCGTGTACGCAATGATGGTCTAGGGCGGCTAGGACGGCCCCACCACTAAAAATTTTCAAATAATTTAAAATTATATGAGTTTGTACGTTTAAATTTTTATAGTTAATTTTAAAATTAAACAGAGTAGTCCTCTAATTTTTTTAAATTATAAAGTAGTTCTCTTAAAAACATAATCTTAGATCCATCCCTACGTGTAATGATTTTTTAATTAAAACTAATTATAGATTTATATTTATATTTTATAATTATTAAATATGTAATAAAAATCCTCTAACACATATAAAATAGGAATAATTCTACACATACTAATAATTTTATTAAAAATTATACTAAAAATAGAAGAGACTAAGCCTACGTTTGGGAAGAAAATTTTGGGGCTTTTTTGGCTATTTTAGCCACAAAAGACAAAATAGGCTATTTTAGCCATAAAAAACAAAACATCACATCCAACCCATAATCATTACACTCTTTTCTCACAAAATAAGTCAAAAAAGTCAAAAAGCCAAAAAGCCCTTCCCAAACCAAGCTTTTTAGCCCAGGCTAAAATAGCCAAAAAAGCCAAAAAGCCAAAAAGCCAACCCACTTCCCAAACGTAGGCTAAATGTAATTAGTTGTTAAAAAAATAAATAACATTTAAACATTTAATGATATTTGGACATATGTTTTTGAGAGATTGTTGAATCAATCCAATGTATTCGATTAAAGAGAAATATCTGTTACAGTACGTATAATAACAAAAGAAAGACTTTTATTAATAAAATCAAAATGATACACATAAGAAAAACATCATTAAAAGAGGCAAGAGCGAAAGCATCAAAGTGAAATTTCTTAATCCCAACTAGATTGACCCCAATAAAACCACACTTGTCATGACCCAAACCCGCCCCCATGAGTTAAGGACATAACCGGCCAGTAATCCTAAGATTACCTACGGCTTCAAACTAAACCAGACATAACTCATTAGAGTAAAAGGGCCAAATGGAAGCAAAATTTAAAACTTTGTCCATAGAGCTGTACTTACATGACACATCATAACAAACCATACATGTACATATTAATAACTCACAACAGAAAATATAGTAACATAAGGTTCTGTACAGACATGATCATATAAGTCTTGGTCAGCCAATCAAAACTATATACAGACGTATCCAAAGTCCTCGTCAACAGGACAAAATAAAACAGGATAGCAAAAGGGCGAAGACGAGTCTCGTGCGTGAGACATGAGGGCTGACTCTTCAAAACCTTGGTTATTCCACACAAACTTCACTAGGGTTGGGTTTGGACCTCCCTTGGCTCACCAACAGGCACATGAATGTGCGTGTGCGTGAACGAAAGCCCAGTGAATAATATCAAATAAAGAATTTACACAAACAGTATTTAGAACAACGTGCTTCAAACGGCCTTGGACCCAATTCGTATTTCTATCTAGCATATATATAAATATAGGTCAAGTGACTGCGGTTCCAAACACATCATACGGCCTCGGGCCCAATTCATTCGTATTATTCATGTCATACGGCCTTTGGCCCATTCATTCTTCCACTCATGTCAGACTGGCCTTTGGCCTATTCATTCTATCATTCATGTCAAACTGGCCTTTGGCCCATTCATTCTTTCATTTATGTCAAACTGGCCTTTGGCCCATTTATATTTTCATTCATGTCAAACTGGCCTTTGGCCCATTCATTCGCGTCATACGGCCTCCGGCCCATTCATTCATAGCAAACGGCCTTAGGCCCATTCATTCATAGCAAATGGCCTTAGGCCCAACCATATAGCATAGCAAACATTTGTCCACAATTCAAATCAACAGACTCATACAGCTTATAGAGGAATAAGTAATTGGACAAATAACATATTTCAAAATATCTTTATTAATATATTACTCACAGTGATCGGCTGGGTGATTTGCCCTGGAGCTTGACCCTACAGATTACATAACACATATGGGTCACAAACGATTCAATCCATTCTTAATTCATACATTCCTCTTAGGCTTCTTTCTTATTCCTTTAATTCATTCATAATGCTCAATGCATGCCTAAGAGTACTTAGAAGTGAAAGAGAACGGAAAACGAAACACAAAACGTTCTTACAAAATTTCTGAAACAGGGTTCCCTGCTCGAGCGTGGACTTTCCCGCTCAAGCAGACCCATTAGGTCTACAAAAGTACTGGTTACATCATTTTTACGCTCGAGCATGAAGTCGGGCGCTCGAGCTAAAAGCCTCACTACATGGCGCCCCGCTCGAGCGTGAACTTCCCCGCTCGAGTGGACATCATGTTTGCAGAAAGTTCTGGGAGCTCGTATTTCCCGCTTGAGCGGCACCTTCCACGCTCGAGCGGACATCCCAAATTCTGGAAAATCCTGAATTGTTCTTGAGCTTCAAACTTGTATTCATATCAACATATCTTGCATATTATGGCTCAAACTTTACATATACATGTACTAACATGATCCAACACCAAATTCATTACATTATGAAGCTCAATTTCACAAATTAATCACATGCATGTCCCAATTTACACCAAACTCATTTCCAACATAACAAATTCATGCATTCAAAACTCACACTCTTATGAATTGTACATGCATGTGGGATATAACCCTTATTCTCAACTTAGATAATGAAGAGATGGTCAAAAATATGAGCTTCAACTAAAATCTCACATGGATTATACATTTTGTGCTCAAACATGCATTTACACCAAACTCATTTCCAACATAACAAATTCATGCATTCAAAACTCACTCTTATGAATTGTACATGCATGTGGAACACAACTTCTATTCTCAACTTAGATGATGAAGAGATAGTAAAAAATATGAGCTTCAACTAAAATCTCACATGGATTATACATTTTGTGCTCAAACATGCAAATTCAAAGCAATTTCTCACATGCATGTGCATATTGACTCTCAATTCCACAAAACCAACTCAATTTCATTATAATCAATTCAATTCATGTTCTTGATCATCATTCAACTTTGAATTTACAAAATTACAAACTAATATCCATGAATTTACTCACTTAGAGGCTCAAATCTTCCAAACTATGGTTAATTCTTGAGTGTGTCTTCAAGATCACCAAGTTCCCTAGCCAAATTTCTACCTTTTGCTTCTTTTCTCACTAAATTCGACTTCTCTCTCTCTCTCTCTAGAGCATAATTCAGCCAAATTAAATAAAAGAGAGGAGGTGAGTATGTAGTGCCCTTGTTATATAAGTCTCATTAATCACAATTATCAATTATTAAATAATTTGAGCACTACACCATTAATTTAATCTAATTAATTTGATCCGAATCAATTTTCAATTAAATTTCACCGTAGGCTCTAAAAATTATGCCAATCACAATGGCGCAGTCAATTTCTATTTCTGTGGCCGATAGGGCCTTCAATTTAAATTCCAAAGCAGAAAATCAAACAGATATTCCTACGGCGAACATATAGAAATTCAAAACCACATATTTTCACATAAATGACACACAAAATTATATCAAACACATAATCACATTCATAATAAGGACCAATTAGCATAATACGGAACATGGTTATCACAACACTATCATGTGCTAACTTACGCCAAAAGAGTTGGTGAGGTACTAACACACGACACTATAACAATCACACTATGCAGCGTCTAACTTGTTGAATATTGTAGACAAAATCGTCCATCGTGTAGCCTTACCCCACAGAGTGTGTTTTCATCTAAAGGGCTACTCTTACTTTGATTAGCTCACAAAGATCTACACAGTTTGGTTGCAGTTCATTGAACAAACATTCATTCCTACACTACCAAAGGGACCATAAACTAGCAATAATAATTAATCTCCAAAGTTGTTTTTCTCTTTTTCTAAAATTCCAACCCATCCACCAATGTGTCCACTGAGCTAGGACAGGCTCATTGTAAATCCCACCACTTGATTATATTAGACCAAACTTTCCAAGCAAAGGTACAAATCAACAGAACATGATTGAGTGATTTAATCTCAAAATGACATCACACATTCAGCTCTGACATCATTACTAAGAACATCAATTCTATGTAAATAATCTGAGGTCTTAATCCTCCCTTTCTAGGCCAACCAAGAGAAAAATTGGGTTGTGTTTTAAATTTTTTTTTTTTTGAAGAGAGAGAGTTTAGAAATTTTTTTGGTTTGTTTGGTTGTATATTTTAAAAATAGTTTTGGACTTTGGGAGTGTGGGATGTTTTGATATTTTGCTGTAGTTAACTAGATGTGTGTGAGAAAAAAAGTGATTGAGAATGAAAGAGGAGAGAAAAAAGTGATTGATTGATATGTACGACAGAGAAAGTGATTTTGGAATTTTTTTTTTTTCCAATAAATTTGCACTGAACAAAATTTTGAAAATTTTTCTCAAAAATTATATCTTGAGATACAAAGCAAACAAGCCCTTGGGCTTAAGGTGGAGAAGGATTGTTCCAAATCAAGTCACACTACAGGAAATGCTTGGTTTAACGACGTTTATATAATGGCGTTTTCTTAAACGTCGTCT